AGAGTAGCATTCTACCATTGGAGTCTCACACCCCGTCCTTTTGATTATTTTTTGGATAGGGTTATGAAGTCCCTTGGACTTACCTAAGACCATGATACTCTTACCTGCACCTCCTATACAGATGGGGGGGTGTAGGTTAAGAGTATGCACTACTGGGACTGGTAATGTGGCTTAGTGGTAGAATGCTTGTCTAGCATGCATGAAGCCCTGGGTTCAATTCCTCAGTACCAGATAAACAGAAAAGGCTGGAAGTGGTGCAGTGGCTTAACTGGTAGAGTGCTAGCCTTGAGCACAAAGAGGTTCAGGGACAGTGCCCAGACCCTGAGTTCAAGCCCAGGACTGGAAAAAAAGAGTATGCACTATTATGCCTAATTTGTGGATATGGGGAGGGAGATTTCACTAACTTTTTGCATGTGCTGGTGATCCTCCTGAACTTCACTTGCTTGCTAGCTGGAAATACAAGATGTCCACCAAAAAGCAATGAGTTTTCATGTTTAATTCCATATAGGCAGGATAGCACTTACCATATTATTAGTTTAGATGTTGTAGATTTTCTCAAAACCTTCTGGATTATGTTTGTGGTATTGTAATAAACTTTAATTTTAATATTTTTATTATCTTTAAATAGTTCTACAAAGGAGTTTTGTGTTAATTTATGCATATAATGCATCGTGCTCAGTGTCATACTTTCTATCATTGACCCCTGCCATCTATGCCAACCCCAACCATCTCCTCTTTAATAGACCTTTTTGGGTTTTAATTGTGTTTTGAATTTACTTAATGGGCATTAATGGTGTTTGGATATATTATAGCAATAGCTACTGAGACTATCCTGAGACTTGGAGATCTACTGTAGTAATGTGCAGTGTATAATTGATAGTTCTTTTTTTTTAAAAAGTATATTTTTATTGTAATGATACTGTACAGAGGGGTTACAGTTACATGAGTAAGGTAATGAGTACATTTCCTATCAAGCATTGTTACCCCCTCCTTTGTTTTTCCCCTACCATCCCTTCTCACCTGCCTCCACCCTGCCCGAAAGTTGTAAAGTTCGTTTTCAACATAGTGTCTTGTACATCTCATTGTTAAAATGGGTCATCCTGTATCCTTATTTCAGCATTTTGTTATCTCCCTTCCCCTCGCCAATTTAGAAAAATGAAGACAGAGTATGTCCCAGTCCATTCTAGTACATGTTATCCAGTTCCTTTATTTCCTCCTGAACATCATTCTCACTTATTTAGATACTGCATCTTGTTTGCTGAACTGCAATGATGCCTTATCCTTTAGTTGAAGACAATAAAAATATAAATGCTTGGGGCTGGGAAGGTGGCTCAGTGGTAGAGTGTTTGCCTTGCATGAGGCCCTGGGTTCGATTCCTCAGCACCACATAAGCAAAAAGAAAAAAGCCGGAAGTGGCGCTGTGGCTCAAGTGGTAGAGCGCTAGCCTTGAGCTGAAGAGCTGAGGGACAGCGCCCAGGCCCAGAGTTCAGGCCCCACGACTGGACCCCCCCCAAAAAATATATATATATAAATGCTGGGTGTCTTTTGACACAGCTGCTTTGAAGGAGGTTACTAGCTGGGCGCTGGTGGCGTCGATGGCTCATGCCTGTAATCCTAGCTACTCAGGAGGCTGAGATCTGAGGATCGTGGTTCACAGCCAGCCCAAGCAGGAAAGTGTGAGACTTATGTCTAATAAACCACTGGAAAACTGGAAGTGGTGCTGTGGCTGAAGTGGTAGAGCGTTTGCCTTGAGCTGAAGAGCGCAGGGACAGCACCCAAGCCCAGAGTTCAAGCCCCACGATCGACAAAAATAACAAATGTAGGTTACTATCTTGTCTTCAGGGATAGAGACCCTGTTCCTCAACAGCATGGGTTTAGGGAGCCATACCCAGGAGAATTTAGGTATTCAGAACTTAGGCACATTCATCACTATTCCAGGCCTCAGAGTTCTACTTTCCTTATCAGCATTATCAATCTGTACATATAGAAACCTCTACTGTACAGCCTTGTGCACCAAATAGAATCAAAGTCTGGTGGTCAGCAGTCTATAACTAGAGGAGATGTGGGTCGGTCTCCATAATTCAATGGTTAGTGTGGAAGACAAGTTAGGCTTTCTCTTCAGCAATCAATACACTATCGTTCCTGCTTGGGATAATCTTTAACCTGGCTTAACAACTATTTAGGCTGGAAATGATATGAGTATACACTGAGTTGGAAGCCAAGTTCATCTTCGTATACATGCCAAGTGATACTCAATGACCTATTCAAGGAATGCATCTATGTCTGTGGCATGCTTTCCTCCCTCATTGTAACATATGCCACAAAATAAATGACATCTCAAGAGGGTTCAGGTAACCCTTCTTTATCCCACACCAGACATCCAGAAACTCACAACTAAGAGAAAATCTTGGGCCCTTGTTTTCAAATAAAGTCAGTCTACCAGGTTACTAAATATTTCTCACTGTAATGATGTAGTACATTAGTCCTTTTCGAATGACATTGTCACCTAGGTTACAGGAGTAGCATCTCCCTTCTATGGCACTTACAATCTAGCCTCACAAAGTTATTCTACATACACTTGGCTTTCCTGACTCCTAATTCTATAAATCAATAAAGGAATTAATAAAACATATTAAAGCCGGGCACCAGTGGCTCACACCTGTGATCTTACTCTTAAGATCCTACTGAGATCTGAGGATCATGGTTTAAAGCCAGCCTGAGCAGCAAAGTCTGTGAGACTCTTACCTCCAGTTAACCACCAGAAAGCAGGAAGTGGAGCTGTGGCTTAAGTGTTTTAGCCTTGAGCACAAAAGCTCAGGACAGCACCCAGGCCTTGAGTTCAAGCCCCAGGATACACACACACACACACACACACACATTAAAAGCCCATTGAGAATACCAAATGAGGTCCTATACTGGGATAAGAAGGATACAATATTATAGCAGGAATACAGTATGTATCCCTGGGGAATTCAGTGCTCATATGGTTTGGTGAAGGTCTGTCATGCGATACTTTTCAGGGCCACAAGGAAGGTTTATGTATTTCTAGAGGCTGGACACCTGAGAACCATTGGTGGGTCTCAAACAGGATCAAGAGACAGTTTTGTGGGCTCTGCAGCTTATCAAAGTCTGAAATATTTCTTTGAAAATAATAATACAAAGTCTATTATGACAGTGAGTTTTTTATTTAAAAGTGACATAACAAGCATTAAACTAATGGCAACTACAACAAGCAAACATCGTAAACAAATTGTGTACATAGTTATGCATGTACACATTTTAATTTTCACAAACATCATTATGCTGCTGCAGAATCTGGTCTGTAGTGTGTATCAAGGTGAAGGATATGGTGTTTTTTATTGTAAAGATGCTGTACAGAGGGGTTACCATTACTTGAGTAAGGTAATGAGTACATTTCTTGTTGAGCATTGTTAACCCCTCCTTTGTTTTTCTCTTACTATCGCTTTCCTTCCCACCGTCCTCATTCCTCCCTACCGAAGTTGTAAAGTTCATTTCCAAAATAGTGTCTTGTCTCATTGTTACAATGGATCATCCTGTGTCCTTATTTCAGCATTTTATTTCCCTTCCATTCACCAAATTAGATAAATATAACAAAACAAATATGAAACTGCAGATTTTACACCAACAAGTAGTCATGTATCTACATAGAAGAACCCTAGAGTGATTGTTACTTGTCAATTTCAAAATGCCATTGGCTAAGTAGGACAATTATTCAAGTATGGCTACATATACACAATGAGAAGATGAAGTTGATAAATTGTTCATTCTTACTTAAAATAAGATTTTTTGTGAGATAAAATTTTAGAAAAGCTAATTCATTTTTAAAACATGTAACAAGCTCATGTTCAGTTTTAGCACTTTTTTCCACATCAAGTGACTTTACTGACCCATTCCCAAATTATCAGATTCTGGTGAATCCACCCTCTTTGAGTTATTTGGAATGATTTACCAGCTGTCACTGATCTTACTAGAGTTAATTGGAATTATTATAGGAATAACCACATGCCAAAACTAAGTTGAGGCAATGACTACATATGAAGATAAAATTTATAACATAATGTTTGCTTATTCTACAGCTTATATCAAAGGAGATTGTGTTGGTCAGCAGTAAGTCGGGACTATCGAGTGGCTAATGTGTGCATATAGTAACTCTAGCTGCCTTCTATATGTTATCAAACATCTATGAAGAGCCACTCACTATTAGTTATGAACATAGGAGACTGTTTTAAGAAACTGCTCAACAACTGAAAGCTAGACACTCTTTGAAATAGAATTTTAAGGAAGTATTGAATGAACAAGTCTTTTCAAGCCTGCCCAGATTATTTTTTCTGCATACAGAAATTGTATTCACACACACATAGACAACATGCAGATAAGCCACTTGTTTTAGAGTTCTAGATTGTTTTCCTGCAAAAGTAACTATTGTTAGGTATAGCAAAGCTTATCTATCTTTGGTTCTATGTCTCAGAGATATAATTTTTCAAAAAATAAATAGGCATGGCAGGAAAAATAATTTGGCTATCTTAAGAGAAAACTAAGCCCTTTATAAAACTGGAGCAAAAAATATAATTGCCATTTCTTCTATTCTTCTTTCCTAGTTATCTTGCTTAATATCTATTACCAGTGCAATTTTAATATTCAAATGATTGTGCACAGTGTATCTAACTATACAGCAAAGATATAGAAATGTTACAAAATAAACAGTACTTTACTATAAAGTCATTTAGGAATTATGAATTGAAAAATGTATGTGAAAGTAAAACTGCTGATGTATATTGGCAAAATTGGCTTTGAAGAAGTGCAAAAAAATTTTTAGCATGGCAAACTGAGAAATCTAGACTATCTTTTCCCTAAACTGAACACATTAGCCAAATCCCCCCATTTCCCATTTTCAGAAAATATTCCCATGTTTGAGAGATGTGATTTTTTAAACTATGATCTATGAAAGCTCCCAGTGATAATTTCAACTCTTGTATTAGTTACTGAGTTCCAGTACTAGGTAACGGCTTTCGTCTCTTTTCAAAGAGAATTTTTGAATCAAACAATTCTCTTTCTCTACAGCCTAGAGCTGGTCCTTTCAGATACTTTGCTTCAGCTGCTTCATAATCTAACCCGTCAACAGCAGAAATGGAGCAAATAATTGCTTCTGGCAGAAGAACTTCCAGGACAAATTTAATTTTGTCATCTTTTATCCGAGTGCGCATTCTTTGGTCTATTTGCTTGTATATTTCTTGTAGGTATTTCACCACCTCATCCAACTGATCTTCATCTTCAAAGTATGTTTCAATACATGGCATGAACCTCTTGGCATGCAAAAATGAATTCAGCCATCTGGACCTTTTTTTGCCTTTTAAGATGGCCAGAAGATGGTCTTCTGTTCCCTTTGCATTCACAATAAAGTCCACAAGGTTCTTATTGGCTCGGTCCCGAGCAGACTTCATTCGGTCAGGAAGAATTTTCTGATAGGCTAATCTCTTGGCTGGGGAAGTTACACTCATTTGTTCCCCACTATCGTCATTGTACAGTTTTGGAAATAAATTTCTGAAGGTGTCTCGCTTGATTTCTTTCCGAACTGGATAACTGATGTCAGCAGCAAAATACTCAAGGAAAGAACCTACGAAAGAGCCACACCCTATTCTAACTCTGTAGTCACAAATCAGTGAAATGCACCAATCAATGCTCTCCCTGTACTCCTCCCTGGCTTTATCCACTAGTGCTTGCTTCTCTTTACAGTCATATTTTTTTAATCTTCTGAAAGGCACTCTAATTCCTTTCTTTTCAGAGCTCATGTCTGCCTCAACAAAAATCACACTTGCTTTCCTCTCCTTTCGCCTGATACTTTTCACTACTGCTGGCCAAAATGGGTATTTTTGATATTTAAACCAGACAATGATCCCAGTTTCAAATGCACATGGCTTGTAATCAAGAACTAAGCGTGGAAGCTCTTCTTCTTCGTCAGTGTCCTCTAATGCAAGAGTGCTAACATGCTGCACACTCAGTGAGCTGGTTGAAGCTGAAGCTTCACCCTCAAGTTCAAAATCCAGTCTTTGAAGACTTCCTTCCTCATTCCTCAAAAGTGAATAATCCAGGACAGGGTTAGAGGCACTAAGTGAAACCTGATATTCCCCTGAAGTAGTAGAACAAGATGGCTCAGCCTCCATGTCTGTTTCCACAGGAGGCTGATTCTGGCTGGCATCTGAGCTTGGATTTGGATTTGAGGGACCCTCTTCAGGATCATCAGTATTCTCTGCAATGTTAGAGCACTGAGAGGAAACAGCTTGGTCCTCTGGGGAGCTATCTGACTCCTCTTCTTTCAAGGCTTTGGGCACCACAAAGTCATCTGACAAAAATGGAACGAACTTTTCATCTTTAATATCTACATTCTCCTCTTTGATTGTGGACATAATTGCTGTGATATCAATCTTTTTCTTGTCTTCTTTTTCATCATCTGAAAATGAAGCATAAGTTTCATTCCAACAGAAGTTTGGTGATGGCTTTGTTTCCATTTCATCTTCAATAGCTGTGTTCACCTGTGATTTATCATCAGATAGGAAGTCATCATTTTCTGTAGGTGCTACCAGGGTTGCTGGGCCTTCACTTTCTTCAAGATAATTCACAGAATCCCCTTCATGCTGCCGAAACTTTTTATGAGGGGGGGACTCAGACAGCTCTTGCAGTACATTCTCAGACAGTGTAGAGGTCTCCTGTTCATTCAAAATACCTTCCTGACTCAAATTTGCTCTTTCATTCAGGATATCCAGTGCCATTTTTAGGGATCTTTCATAAGCTGTTTCCTCCCTAGGGGGAACGCTGACCTCTGACTCTATTGTTAGGGAAGAAATGATAACTTCAATTGCAGATTCACTTAGGCTCTTTGTTTCTGTGCTATCCACTGTAACTTTTTCATCTAGTGAAAGGATTTGGACTTCTAGTGCAAATGTGCTTTTTCTCTTACCATCTGATGAAATCTCAGATCTGGACAAAACTTTTGCTGGCCATATCTGCTCTTTCCAATTGCAGAGGACATACTCGGCATTCATTGTGATTTAGATTTGTATACCAGGTAGCTACTATCAGAAGTTGAGGTGGCTGACTGTCCTTGCCTCTACCAACACAAATACTACCAAAAACACCAGTCTTACAAATGTCTCTTTTGAGGCTGGACCACCAACGGTGTATGACTTATGGGGCCTCTTCTCTTCAATTACAATTTCTCCAAGATGTTGAACACGTTTGAATAGGATAATTCTAGAAAATAATAAAACAAGGGAAAGGAAAAGTATCAATAAACAAAACCAAATCATTTTGTCAAGGTATAATACTACCAAGTATTAACACATTAAGAGATAAACTAAAAGACAACACTCAGTAAGAAGTAAGAAAGACCAAATACAGCATAACGTAAGAAGATAAAGAAACTGGAAAATTGTTTTATAGTTCTTCAAATTTAAGAACTTATAGTCTTACTAAGGAAGGAGCATATACATATCAGCAGAGAAGAGAGAGCTCATGGTAACATGTCAGGGAATTGGTTATTAGATAGGTTGATATTTCTCTGTCCCTACTGTTATGCCTGTGGAACTCCAAACTTAGCAGGTGTCAGAATCATATGGAGGACTTTTCTGATGGACTTCTTTAATTTCTGGGCTCCATCTTGTGTGCTAGCTAACCACAGCTTTATAACTTTTAGGCTGTATGTGCTTTGCTATTCTTCCAAAAGCAAGCAGACAAAAAACAATGGGATATGTATATCCTTGACCCATTTAAAAATAAGTGGCCTCATAAAAAGCATAATTGAGAAAGACTGCTATGATCACATATTGGATAGTGTACTTACCGAGAATTTTAGAGCAAAGCCATTGGTTTGAACTTTAGGTAGATATGTGAAAAGCCTCATATTTCTTTATAATTATTTAAAACATTAATTTTCTTAAAACTAGGTATTATGACTTTTAATTACAAACATTTGGTTACAAAACGGGGGTTAAATAATTGCACCCCAAATTCTCAAGTGAATAATTTTAAGTTAGTGTTAAATTTAGAATGTTACTATTTCAAAGCAGTAGCAAAAGAAATTATTCTCTGACATCTCATACTGTTTTAAATGTTTACCTCTTTATGAAATGAGAAAAGTCTTACCCTCTGTCATGTGGATGAGAACTGCCTTGATTTTCACTCTATGTGCTAGTCCAACAGAGCCTTCACCCTGAGGGGCACTTCAGTGGCTGCACTGCCTCATAGGGATTCACCTGACACCACACACAGATTGCCCAAGTCACGTGCACCTGAGATATTCACCTAAGCTGTCTAAAACAAAGACATGGGAACAATAACATGGAAGAAGTAAGAACAAAATTTCCATACCAATATTCTACCAGGAATGTCATTCTAAAACAGGGGTGAGATGAAATCCTATGCTTATTTTCCCTCATCTTCTAATACTGTGAAATGCTCTTTGGGACACTATTATATTTTTGAGATCATGATGAAGTCATCTCTGAGAATAGTGGGCAATTGGAGAGAAGGAAGTAACAATTACCTTGTATTTAGTATGAGTCATTTGATAAATTTTCTATTTGAATCCTCACCTCAGTCATTAATGTGGATGTCTTTATTCCTTACATTTCCAAATTGTTTAATAGGCTCACAATTATAGTATATGCAGTCTCATAATCTATTAATACAAAATTATTTCACTGCTTTATTGATTTACATCATTAAAAAATAATTGCCCAGGGGCTTGGAAAGTGGCTTGGTGGTAGAATGCTTGTCTCGCATGCATGAGGCCCTGGGTTTGATTCCTCAGCACCACAGAAACAGAAAAAGCCGGAAGTGGCACTGTGGCTCAAGTGGTAGAACCCTAGCTTTGAACTGAAGAGCTGAATGACTGTGCCCAGGCCCATAGTTCAGGCCCCACAACCACCCCTTCCCCACCCCCCACCCCTCGCAAAAAAAAAAAAAAAAAAAAGATTGCCCAGAGATTTTGGCTATCTGGCAGGTGCCATCTTGTGGCTACATCTGGAGCTACAGCCTGCTCATTATGAATACACAGGACCTTAATCACTAAAAGATCTGTCTTATGGGAGAAGGATAGAAACTACATTAGCCACCCAGAGTCCTTTCAGGCTTTTACAATTCCTTATTTTAGATTTAAAGGATTTTATGGTATGAGATTATAACAAGATCATACCATCAGCCAAAATGTGATTAGGAAAACATCAAGAAGCTTAATAAAATTGAAAAGCTACCAAAAATATACAAAAGGAAGCACAACTATACATAACCACTATACATATTTTCTAGAAATGTAAATGATATATATATATAGGTATATATATCACTATATCTTTCTAATCTCTATCTATTTATCTATCTATCTATCTATCTATCTATCTATCTATCTATCTATCTATCTATCTATCTATCTATCTATCTCTTTGAATAATTGTTCTTCAGTGAACCATTCAAGGATATGGCTTAAACACAGTCCTAAATGTTTTCTACATGGCTTTTTGTTCATGATTTTAGTTTTTTCCAGTACTTTGGCTTGAATTCAAGGCTTGTGATCTCCCTTGGCTTTCTCACTCAAGGCTGGTAATCTATCACTTGAGCCATTGCTCCACTTCTGGCTTTTTGGTGATCAATTAGAGATAAGAGTCTTACAGACTTTCCTGCCTGGGGCCACCTTTGAACTGTGATAACCAGTTCTTAGCATCCAGAACAGCTTGAATTATAGGCATAAGATACCAGCACTCAGCCTCATATGGTTTCATAAGTTATTTTAACTGAGATATCCCACAGCTTCTCAACATTTACCTGAAAATTCTGTGAAGATATCAAAGAACAAATAAAGTGATGCTTTGTGTGTGTGTGTGTGTGTGTGTGTGTGTGTGTGCGTGTGTGTGTGTGTGTGTGTGTGCGCGCCAGTCCTAGGGCTTTGAAATCAGGCCTGAGAGCTGTCCCTGAGCTTCTCTGCTCAAAGCTTTCACTTTATCACTTTGAGTCACAGTTCTACTTCTGGCTTTTAGGTGGTTAATTGGAGACAGAATGTCCTGTATGGGCTGGCTTTGAACTGAGATTCTCAGATCCCAGTCTCCCAGCCTCTTTAGTACCAAGAATTATAGGTATAGGCCATTAGCCCATGCTAAAGTGATATTTTTTTAAAATGAGAATAATAAAGTCAACCTTGTCTCCCCAACCATACAAATGATTCCATTTGTAGTTTGGTAAATATGTTTTTCAGATTTGGCTAGATACATTATTAATCAAATATATTATACCTTAATATTATGTATTTACCTATATTAAACTAGCATAAATATATATTCTGAAAGAAGAGAATGTAATATGTGCTATTCTATTTATCTTATGCTATTTCTCAGACTTCAGATCACTGTATGAAAAGGTTCATGTTTCTATCACTAAATATACAATATTCCATAGTATGGATATACCATATAAAATTTTTTCAGTTGCTTACAGAAAAAAAAAAACAAACCAAATACTCCATCTCACTCATAAACTTATGTGATACAAATAATTGGCTCCTTCTGATGACTGAAATGACACACTGCACAGAGGACACACAGGGCTATAGTCAAAACAGATAACCAGGCTACCCATTTGCTTGGGTTGAGGAAATTTTCCACTGTTAATAAAAGGCAAGAGACAAGAGACACAGGAGCATGAATGTGTATATGTGTGTGTATACATGTATGCTTGTAAGTGTATATGTGTTGGAAACCAAAATGTGTATGTTGTTTCAGCTGCATTTTCTTCTGATTGTAAGGATGATCATGAGGGATTCTACTCTGAAAGATGTTGCAACAGATTAGAATAATATTAAAATGGCAAGCTGATTAGCCAGAAACGCTGGATGCTGACAGAGGGGTTAATTTCTTCTAGATTTTTTTCTAATCACACATATAGGTACATGTACACTGTGCAGTTTCTTCACTCAACTATCTTTGATCTCTTCTCCATGTGACACACACTCGATCCACATATCAATTTATAGAAGTAATTCCTCATGCTGTCAATTACTTGTATCAGTTCATAATTTTGTGCAAATCAATAATGTTTAAAACTTTAAAAAAAAGAACACAATGCCTGGCAATATAAACATGGAATTCCAAGGCAATAAATTATCATGAACAGCCATGCTGCAGTGAAGCCTTAATTTAGAGCCCGTAATCTGATCACCCCCTTTCCCACTGTGGACTTATAAAGCCTTGGGAGGTAGAAAAATTCCAGAGGATTAATTCCTTCAAAATGGAAACGATTCTCACAAAACCACACATCGTTCCTTCCTGCCACTCCAAAACCTGTTTTTGTCTCTTTACTCCAGGGCCCTGAAAAGTCACTAGAAAATAAATTTCAGACAGACATTACCTTGAAGCTTCTTGTCAGCTGCAGCTTGGTGAAATGCAGCTCCTCTTCCAAGACTGGGCAGACAGAGCTGCCTGCCAAGCTGTTCAGAGAAGGCTCCGCCCCCCAGCTGTGATGAGGAGCAGGATGCCCCGCCCTGAATTAGAGGAGAGAGAATTTGCTAAAGAAACCGCAGTAAGGTTGTAGTGTGGAAATGCTCCTTTTAAAAAAGACCCTTCCAGTGTAGTGGCAATAAGGGTGTGTTTAATTTCCCTCTAAATCCTTCGGGTAGGAAATTTCTTCAAGAAAACAGGTAGCAGATCACTTTATCTATAATAAAACCCAGTTAAAATACCTCAAACATTTCTTCCTTGCCTTTTCTGTTTCTTCAGGAAAGTTTTAGAGGGTTCTTCTTATATATGTCTATTTCTGACAAGAAGCAGAAAATTACTGGTTCACTGGGGAAGTCCCCATTTCATATATTCTTATCAAGAACAGGAAATTCATTTTTCATACATTTTGCTGTTTTTTACTTGAGCAATTAATGTGGAGAGAATTATTTTTTAATTTATATGTTCCTCTTTATTTCTATGCATATTATTAGAATTTTCTGATCTTAAGCTTAATTTTCATCTTCTGATTTAAGTTAAAATGCCAATCTAAAACATTATCATTGATAATTTGGAGAATGAAGTATTTTACTGGCCTTAGTGTCACATAATATATAGTATTAGTCATATACATATAACTGCATTTGTAAATTCACATTTATATATGCATTAATGTTAGAATGAAACATTACACAAAATGAATGAATAGCATCTCTCAGCTGATATGTTGTTGGGAGTGGGGCTCAAGTAACAACATAATGCAATGTTCACGCTATAAACAACCCTTAAATCTCAGAATTTCAAACCTCAAATGACCAAACTGTCAAATGCCAATCAAGTGGCCAAGAGAAGGAAAGTCCTAGCAGTGATTAAGCAACTCAACCTATGTATCAAACAAATTCTTGGGCCTTGAAGTTGTATAGTGCATTGGCTACATCTGGCTGTCTAAAGAAGAGGGAGGATTAAATTCATGTGGATGGTTTTAAGAGCCAGTTCTGGTAGACATCACTACTGGCCATAGTCTAATAGCCACAACTCTGGACAGGTATTGAAGCCCAACCCAACTGCCATAGAGGGAAGGAATGTAGTCTCTTTGTGACCCTAGGGGGAAAAATGAAGAGTTTGGTGAACATGTAGTACACTCACCAACACAGGAAGTTTTCCTTTTCACTTTGTATAGACTTCGGTATAAAGCTTTTTAAATAAATGTGTATCATATTTATGATGAACCTGAGAGAAACTTCAAGTTTTTCACTCAAAGCCTACTCTTTGAATTCTTTTTCATCAGCAAAACTTCAGTTGTAGTTAGGGTGGCAGTGGGAGCTCCTGAAATGTTCCTTTTCTCATATTCCCTCTCTGCAAGCCATAGTTATGTGATGGAATTTCTTCCCAAAACTGAAAATAGAAACTGCTGTGAAGATATTAGAGAAAGTACCTCTCAAGGGCGGATAAACAGCTAGAGTTGTCTTTTTTCATTTTCCTTATTTACATCCTAAAAATTCACCACAACACATAGATAGCCACCCTGAACTAAGAAGTGACTAGGGATGGATGGACATGAATCCCTCCACTTATTGGAACAATGAACTTCTCTTTTGCTGTCTCTCTACCTAGTTGTAGCAGAAACTAGTTGATCTTACAGCATGCAATAGAAATAAATCATTCTTCTTGTAGAATTAATCCTTTCAAGGCTTTAAAAGTATTTAATTTCAACTGAAGTAAATCATTTCAAAGCATTAACATGTTACTATAGAATCTAAAAAGGATTATTAGATCGATGTATATATGGTTTCACTTAAATGAACAGATTTATTTGATAATGAGCTTTACAATATTCATTCTGTCCTCTCATTTTACAAATTTAAAAACACAAAGGCACACAAATTACTGTATTTAAAAAGTATATATTTTTCTCTTTTGTTGATTTTCTATGTAGCATGTAAGTCAGGAAATACTATACCCATTCATTATTTTCCAAACAAAATGCAAAGTAAGAGGTCAACTCTATGGAGGACACCATTGTCTCACACCTATAATCCTGACTAGTCAGGAGGCTAAGATTTGAGGATCTTGATTTGAAGACAGCTAAGGTAAGAAAGTCTATGAGATTTTATTTCCAAATAGCCAGCAAAAAGCTAGAAGTTCAGCTGTGGCTCAAGTGTTAGAGTGCTAGAGCCTTGAGAAAGAAAACTCAAAAAGTGCCAAGGCCCTGAGTTCAAGCTGCACGCACACACGCACAGACACACAGACACACAGACACACACAGACACACACACAGAGATCAAATCCACAGGAGATAGGGAGTGATAGCCAAATAATAAATGCTAATATTAGAGTACTAATATTAAAGTGAATATATGTTGGTAATACAGAAACAGTGTCTAATACCTTCATGTAGACATTATTCTTAGTAATGATATTTTATCTCATTTAATAACTACATGGTTATTACATGCACAAAAGTCATATAACTGCTCATTCAATATGAAAACAGTAATAATAATAATAATAGCAATAATGTTACAAGCCAAAGTGTTTTCTCACTGTGTACCAGGTACTCTGTCATCCCTGATTCTTACAAAATATTGCTTAATAGGTGCTATGGATTGAATATGATCTTCAAAATTCCTGTGTTAAGTCCCAATGTAAAAATGTTAAGTGGTAGGACCTTTAAGAGTTGATTAGATCCCATGGGCTTGTTCGTCATGAAAACATTAATGTCATTACAGCAGGACTGAGATAGTCACCATGGGAGTGGGTTCCTGATAAGAGGATGCATTTGTCCCCGTTTGTCTGTTCTGTCTCTCCATGCAATATGTGCTACTAATTCAGCAATTAGGCCCTTAACCAGATGCAGATCCTCAATCTTGGAATTCCCAGACTCTAGAACTGTGATCTAAATGAGTGTCTACTGTTTATATACTTCTCAGTCTCAAGTATTCCATTGCAACAGCACAAAATGACAGTAGATATTAAGAGTATTCTCATCTTGGACATGAGGCTTTAGCGATATTAATGCACTTTTAAAAGGATATCCTGAGAGTATTTGGCACATGGTATTTGGATCTAGGTCTTCTTTACCCCAGAGTCAATATTGTTAATCACTAAGACACACTGCCCTTCTTTCACTGCAAACTGAAAATACTCTGCAAATGTGTATGGGATGAATGGATGAGTAACTAAAAGAATCTAAAATTGGTATTCTGAGAGTCATTGGAATTTAAACAGAACATGACATAATATATCCAATGTTGCACCTAATCTGCCTTCCTTCATTCCTTTGTTGTTGTTAGAGTTTAACATGATACAGTGTAATTATGGCAGTGAGTAATATCCCATCCCCTTTGACAATTATACTGATTGCAAATAAGGCACAAGTTCTTCCCACCTACAAGGACAGCCATCTAGACTGTGTCTGTTACCTTAACTAGGAGTAAACAATACTGACAAGATCAGACTTACCAGATATACATGTGGGAGAAGGTTTTCTGGGTGATGGAATTCTACTGCTTTCTGACTGTGGTGGTAGTTGCATGAGTATAGACATATATACAAAAATGTTAAGTAGAGTGTATGACACTTTACATGTGATTTTAACATATGATAATTCAAGATTAAATGTTTGAATATAATGTAATAACCATTACCTAAAAAACAATTCTTTTAAATATGCTTTTGAATCCATTATTTTCTTCCTATAGCATATTTAATAAAAACCACAAAATGACCCTCATACATATATAATAATATATGTATATATAATATTTAGAATACAAAAAGGCCTAAGAGAATGTCATCCATAACAATAGCAAATCTCTGGGTAACCTACAAATTCCAATTTCCTTCAATCTACCAGAGAACTAAATAAAATATCAAAGGATAAGAAGTTTCTTTCCAGAAAGACAGGACCTTCTTATCATTTCACTTTCCAAAGCAGAGACAGTAGTTGCTATCATAGGAACAAATAAAAATAAATCATGTAAGCTTGGTGCGGATGGCTCATGCCTGATATCCGTGAATCCTAGTACAAAAGCTGGAAGTGGAAATGTGGTTCAAGTGGTGGAGCATCATCTTTGAGAGAAAAAGCTGAGGGACACAGCCCAGGTCCTGAGTTCAAGCCCCAGTACCAGTACCAAACAAATCTGAGATGTTGTAAAATCTTAAATGGTAAAGAGCAGGGTCTAGTTTTTAGTTATTAGCTGAAGCCTGTGACACTCATACACTTACTGCTAAGTTCTTTTCCATGGTCCTTAACTGGAAGGTCACAAAAATAAGTAGGGACAAAACAAGAGGCCTAAAGAGCTCGTATCACTGGTTCAAGTATGTGAACCCTTAAATCTAAACTTTTTTTTTATCATGGAGAACCAAGGGATTAAGCCACTAGAGTGCAGCAGTAAATCTCTTGGACCCAGGCAAAAATCTAGTGTTTCTGGGGGAGGAACAGAAGTAAAATGCATTTGTCTGAAGAGGGAGAGACAGGAAACTCTCAAAACACCCATTGCTGTTGAAGGAGAATTAGAAGGGAAAAAACCTCCATTATGGAAGGAGGGGATCTTATAGAAATAAAAAAGTAGGGGTAGCTATTTCTGAGGAAGGGGCATGAAAAAACTTCCCATTAAAGACCAATCACAGATTTAAATGAGAAGTTAACTCCAAAAGGAGAGGAAAGGATGCTGAAAAATCCTCAACTCTCATGGTCTGAGTACACAGGGCTTCCCTAAGGTTATGACTACACAGGATGACAGACAATACTTCTGCTCTAACACCTCATACTAAAGGCAGCCTATTGTTACAAAACAGGTCACAGCTTAAAGACAGACCCTCCTCTGTAAAGGACTACTGAAAACTTAGGGTGGAGAATCATGCAAAAATGTCCTCTAGCATTCCAAGTGTCACTCAAAAAAGCAAAGTTATGCAAGCCATATGATAATGAAGTGAGCAAAATAATTTCCAACATATAACACCATTAACCTGATGCCAAAATCAAGCATACACATACTCCA